CATGCAAATCTGCCATGAAAAATTCATAATAATGTGTAAGATTTCCGTGATTTTTGCCGCATGTGCACGTCCAACCGTATTTGTTCATAATTATTAAAGCGAACACTTTTACAGACACACAAAGCTGTTTTAGTGAGTTTTTTTGTTCTTCAGTGAGACATGTGGGTTAAATTGCAGCTCAGAGCACGAGAAATAAAATACTGTATTTATTTTCCATTTGGAAGACTAAAGATCCGTCTTCTTATTGAATTTGGTCTCATAAGATCAATTTAACACTGCTGCGAGTAAAATTGATTGAGACTCAGTTATTCATTTCAAAAGAAACTACAACGTATATAAATGTATATTTACACCCGAGAACAACATGTAATATAATGCACCAGTCCTTAAATAAGGTGGATGCATTTGTTTGCTTTTTTTTCAGGCTTCTTCCTAGGTAGCCTGACATCCGCACACTTCCTGTCCTAGGGTGACAACGTTCACTGCACTGTATTTGTGGAGAAGTGGCGTTGTCACCCAAGGCTGTTCTGACTGGGACTTCAAACTCCTCCTGCTCTCTATTATCTAGGAGGGAGCTCCTGTTGTTGCTGGGGGGTCAATTGTTGCTGTGAGGGATCTACTGTTGAGGGAGAGGTTTATTGATGCTGGCTGTGGGGAGGTCTGTTGCTGCTGCCATAGGTCTGTTGTTGCTGGGGGGTCCACTATTGCCGGGTGGGTTTATTGTTGTGTGTGGATCTATTGTTGCTGGGGGTATTTTGTTACAGGTGGTCCATTGTTGCTAGGGGGCCCACTATTACTGGGGGGGGAGGTCTTTTGTTGTGGGTAGATCTGTTGTTGTTGGGGGGTAGTTTGTTACAAGTGGTCCATTGTTGCTAAGAGGGTCCACTGTTGCACGGGGGTCTATTTTTATGGGTGGATTTATTGTTGCAGGGTGGGGGTGGGAGGTCTATTTAACTGCTTAATATATTACTTAATATATTCTCTTTAAAGGGTGGTACTGGGAGGTGGATAGGGGGTGGAACCCAGGAACGCTGTTCGGTGGTGGGTAGGGGCGGAGACAAGGGGTGGCTTGGAAAGCAAGAGTTCCTGCACCTATTATCTGAGAAAAAAAAGCCCTGTATACCGTATATATATATATATATGGCATACAGTATGTATAAAAATATCATTATATTATTTTGACCATATGTTTATAGTACCTCACTGATCATTTTTTTGTTGCCCTGCTTGAATTGTAGATTATTATTATTATACAGGATTTATATATTATTATTATACAGGATTTATATAGCGCCACCAGTTTGCTCAGCGCTTTACAATATAACGGGAGACAATACAGCAACAATACAGTTCAGTGAGTGGTGCAGTAGGTAGTCACTGTGGGGGATGGAGTGGTTGGAAGAGTAAAGGATACCAGAATTAGCAGAGGGCGGGATAGGTTTCCCTGAAGAGATAGGTTTTCAGTGATCGCCGAAAGGCAAGTAGAGTAGGTGATAATCTGATAGATTGGGGTAGGGAGTTCCAGAGGATGGGTGACGCCCTGGAGAAGTCTTGGAGACGAGCATGGGAGGATGAGATAAGGGAGCTAGAGAGTAAGAGGTCTTGTGAGGAGCGGAGTGTACGGTTTGGGTGATATTATAAATAGACAGATCCCTTTTGGATCTTCTTTTCTAGATATTATTGTTATAGGCTGCAATTTTATAATACTGGTATTTCTTTACTTGAATCAGTAAAAATTTGTAAACAGAAAAAAAAATTATCATTATATTATTTATATATATATATATATATATATATATATATATATATATATATATATATATAAAATATTATCATAATAATTATAGAATTATTATAATACTTTACAATATCTATCTATCTATCTATCTATCTATCTATCTATCTATCTATCTATCTATTCATATCTATCTATCTATCTATCTATCTATCTATCTATCTATCTATCTATCTATCTATCTATCTATCTATTCATATCTATCTATCTATCTATCTATCTATCTATCTATCTATCTATCTATCTATCTATCTATCTCTATTCATATCTATCTATTCATATCTATCTATCTATCTATCTTCTATCTATCTATCTATCTATAATATTATTTTGAGATATACAGTATATGCATGTATGATTATTATTATATTTTTTTGAGATACCTATGGATATACTGTATATAATATTAATACATCATTTTGAGATTATATACGCATATATGCAGAATTATTATTAGATTATTTTGAGACACTATGGGAGCATCAATAATTATTCTTATTTTTTTTTTCAAAAATAGTGACACTTCCCTATGTGGTTTTATTGGTTTGCACTATAACTAGAATATTTCAATAAAAAAAGACGTTCCCAGAAATAGAATATTACAAGATTATAGATCACAACATTCCATTCCTGCAGAGGTCAATAGAATCCTTTTTTTTTTTTCCTTTTTTTGAGGACAATAACATATTGAAAAAGGTACAAAGCAATAAAAGGGATTTGTAACATGATAATGACAATGGGATATATTCACATAAAACGATAAGAAGGAAAGCACCCAATGGTGGTCAGCCCAGCATCAACCCTGAAAAAAAAAGCCATGGGGAGTGGGGGGGGGGGGGGGAGTTGGTTTCTACAGAGATGGCTTTGAAAAAGTCATAGATGGATGGTCACTGGTAGGCATCCAAATGGCATACCTAGAGCTCACAGCAAAGCTTTGAATGATCTTTTATATAGTTAAATGGTTAGTCAGGTTGAAAATAGACACACGTCCATCTAATTCAACCAATAGAAAAGATAAATAAATATAAAACCTCCATATACTGTACACAATGCTATACCCACAGTTGATCCGGGGGAAAGCAAAAAGGAAAAAAACCACAACAAAGCATGATCCAATTTTCTCCGGCGGGGAAACAAAAACCTTCCTGATCCTCCTGGAGGCAATCGGATATTCCCTGGATCAACAATCCCTGGTGTTATTACTTAAACATGTGAACATCCAGTTATATTTTGTGCATTTAGGAATACATACAGCTTTTTTTTTAAAACAGTCTACTGAGCTGGCCAGAATTTCCTCCCTGAGGAAGTTTATTCCATATTTTCACAGCACTTACAGTGAAGAAGCCTTTCTCTATGTGAAGGCTAGACCTCTTTCCCTCCAGACATAAAGTGATCCTCCTTGTCATCTGCTGTGACCTGAAAGTTAGTTAGGCTGGCCATTGATGTCTCTTTTTCATTCATTCAACCATCGAAAAAAACAAACAAACATATTCCCCTAAACACACAAATGAGGTGAACAGAGAAATCCTTCCTGCTGTAGTATTGTATTCCAACAGTGGGGACTCTCCGCAGTCAGAATACACTGATCTGTGGCTGCAGCCACTGATCGAGCAATACGTCCCAGGAAGCCCGATTCTCTGTTGAACAGGCATGGCCTCGCGTGGATCAAAATTTTGATCCGTCCATGGCCAGCTTTTCTCTGCACACAACTTTTGGTTGGTTAACATTGATAGATTATCTATAGCCTCAAAAAACTTTTCTGTTTGTGTTTCCCTCCAGAGAGTAGTCCCAATTTAACCCAATTGGAAGATGAACATCAACTTGTCCAAGAAGAGGTTTAGTGAAGGTGGTTCGGAGTAGATCCACCAATGGAGGATCACTTTTTTGGCCACTAATGATATAGTAGATGACGGCATTCTCCAACCCACTGTGATTTTAGCCCCTAGTAGTAGATCCAAGAATCTACGCCTTTGACACCTAGATTTGCCAAGGCTGGGGTAAGAGGGAGGTAGTTCACCAAGCTGTCCGTAGCATGTGGGAGGGAACCTACTTGCCCTGCACTTAGGGATGCCTGTTGCATGAATGCGCTTACCAACACCAGGACCAGGTAGAGCTGCATTCATGAAAATTCGACATTAATACGGAACCCCGGCTTGGAGATGAGCTGTACACCATGTTCAACTGTGAGGGGACATACTGGTCCTTCCATGTTGTTGCAGATCTTGCTTTTCCAGAGTGTAGTATTTAAGAGGAGCACCACTGAGCCTGTGCTCCACTCCATCAGTCCAGCATTTCTCTGCCACCTCATTTCCAGTGACAGAATTGGGTTCCGCTCACCCGTACCAGGCGGCTAGGTCCATAAGATCTCTGTACTGCGGGTTCGGTCCTGATTGCTTTTGGGGAACCGACCTCTAGGGAGGGAATCATTGTACTGACCCCCTAAATACCAGAGGACCCATCACCTAAGCCTGGAAGCACTCTACGCTGACTAGCTGTTATACATTCCCACCAGTTCAGGGTTACCAATAGCAACTGCACTCCTTTCGTAATCTCCTTTGCTGAGTTAACCTGTCGTGGTGATCTCCTATCCTTTTCTTCTTTGTCCTCTGCTTTATAGTCCCTATATCTTTGATACACCATATACCAACATGAACCCCTTTGCAAATAACTTTAAATCAGGCTTTCAATGGTTACAGAACTTTACTTGGAAACTCTGAAGCAGCACAGTTCATGAACACATAAGTCTCTTACTAACTAACTATTCCTAGGCTGCCCAGGCATACCTTTGCAGGTAGAAATCCATGGCTGCAAAACTCCCTGGCAGGTAGGTTCCCTTGGGGTTGCTCCTGGTTACATCCTCTCCTGTGGACCTCTTGCCCCTCTCCCATGCAGTTTCTCTCCAGCCTCTGAGCCCAGCCTTCCCCCTTTTAAATGCTTCACAAGGTGGCATGCAGAGCCCAGAAAAACACAGGAAAACTGCAAAACCAGAGGTAACCTCTTCCCACCATCAATTCCATACCTCGAGTTCAGTTTTAAGACCCTTAGAGAGTCCGTTGAGATCCATGCAGAGAAATGTATGCACCATGCTAATCCCTACACATCATTTCCCTAAAAGTGGAGGAGGTCATGCTCAACGGTCTAGTAAAAGAGGTGAGGATGTCCATTGATCATGGCTTTAATCTGTGTGCTATGCTTCTACAAACAGGGCCGCCAAGCAGCGCCGAAAAGGAGATCGGATCGTCATTGAATGCCAAGAACAGGCGTACTGGCTCGTCAGCAAGCCATCGGTGAGTTGGTCAAGGTGTGGTCGTCTCTTGTAGCTGCAATGGAAGTACTGATGGTTTGGTGCACAATCAGAAGTGGGTCAGCTATGGCCATTAGAAAACATGTGTTGGCCATGCATTTGCTTTGCGTTCACCAGGTGTTCATGTCACAGGGCCATGAACTTTTTTAAAGCAGTTTAAATGTTGGGCAAAATGAGTCCTGTGCAGCTTCCTGACGTGCCTGGAGGGGACCGTGTGCCATATGCCTTCTCCATACCATGTCCATGTACCTGTCTGGGATGTGCCTACTTTATATTATCTTACTGAACTGGGATTTGGGGGTGGGGGCTGTTTAGGTTAGGTTTCTTTGTGTTTCTTTTATTTTTCTGTTTGTTTTTAAGTATGTCGAACCCAGGGGTGGACTGACCATTCGGGCTCTCGGGCACTGCTCAAGGGCCCGGGGTCAGTAGGGGGCCCCATGAGATGCCCCTGGTACCTTTCATAGACTTTTTCATAGGCTTTTTTAAGTGTGGTTTGAGTGTGTGGGCGAGGACACAGGGGCCCCATGATCCCCTATGAACCGGTGGCCCCATGAGTTGTCAGTCCCCCCCTGGTCAAACCTCTGCAGAGTGACCACTGCTTCCACAAAGAGAGCTATGGTTCCACTCTGCAGCATGCTGGCAGGGGACAGGCGAAAGTTGTGCAGTTGGTTTTCTTTAGAAGCAGGCACAGCTTGAGTAGAAAAGCCAGTTCCCTACCAGGATGCTGCAAGGAAGGACCCTTATTCTCTGTAAGGAAGCAGAGGACTCTATGCAGAGGTCAAGCATGCATCTCGCTGAGTCAGAGCTCTCCAATCAGCAGGGAGTATGAGCTTTGCTGATCGCAGAGCTATAGGCTGGATTAAGCAGGGGGTGTGTCAGACATCTGCAGAGAGACCACTGTTTCCACACAGAGCAAGGGTCCTTCTCCGCAGCAGGCTGGCTGGAAACAAGCTTTTCTACTCTACTGTAAATTCTAAGACCTTGCACACCTTAGTTTGCAACTGAAATGTCGCTGATTTAAATTGAAAGTTCAGTTTGGATTAAAAAAATAAATAAAGGGGTCTGTTTATCAATGTTTTTCACCCAATATTCACACAACGTCCACCAAAGACTCACACACTTTCTTTACAAAGGATTCAATAGAAAAATGAGTGGAACACTAGCTCTCTGTGTGTTCCACTCATTTCAATGCCCACCGGCCACCTGCAGAGTTTAAATGCCCACCTGCCCAGCTGCCACATTTCAATGCCCACCCCTAGTGAGTCACACCAATAACTCTGCAAACAGCTCACACTTGCCAATAATTGGAGAGCTCTAGCGGTGAGAGAAACCGCATACGATTTGGTCAGGAGCCGCACCGCACTCATTTACTGACATTTTGCGTTTCCTAGGCCTTTGTGGTTACGTAAAAAATTGGAACTACCACTATTTTGTCCTCTAGGGCAGTGGTCTCCAAACTGTGGCCCGAGGGCCAGATGTGGCCCTTTACTTTCCTTTATCCGACCCTTGGGGCATTTTCTTCAATATTGATATGGGGTACACTGAGCCCAATGATGGGGCACTATTCCTCCCACTAATACCAATGATGGGGCACTATTCCTCCCACTAATACCAATGATGGGGCACTATTCCTCCCACTAATACCAATGATGGGGCACTATTCCTCCCAATGATACCAATGATGGGGCACTATTCCTCCCACTGACACCAATGATGGGGCACTATTCCTCCCACTGATACCAATGATGGGGCACTATTCCTCCCAATGATACCAATGATGGGGCACTATTCCTCCCACTGATACCAATGATGGGGCACTATTCCTCCCAATGATAGGGCACTATTCCTTCCACTGACACCAATGATGGGGCACTATTCCTCCCACTGATACCAATGATGGGGCACTATTCCCCCCACTGATACCAGTGATGGGGCACTATTCCTCCCACTAATTCCAACGATGGGGCACTATTCCTCCCACTGATACCAATGATGGAGCACTATTCCTCCCACTGATACCAATGATGGGGCACTATTCCTCCCACTGATACCAATGATGGAGCACTATTCCTCCCACTGACACCAATGATGGGACACTATTCCTCCCACTGATACCAATGATGGGGCACTATTCCTCCCACTGATACCAATGATGGGGCACTATTCCTCCCACTAATACCAATGATGGGGCATGATTCCTCCCTACTGATACCAATGATGGGGCGTTATTCCACCCCACTGATACCAATGATGGGGCACTATTCCTCCCGCTGATACCAATGATGGGGCACTATTCCTCCCACTGATACCAATGATGGGGCACTATTCCTCCCACTGATACCAATGATGGGGCACTATTTCACCCACTGATACCAATGATGGGGCACTATTCCTGCCACTGATACCAATGATGGGGCACTATTCCTCCCATTGACACCAATGATGGGACACTATTCCTCCCATTGACACCAATGATGGGACACTATTCCTCCCACTGATACCAATGATGGGGTACTATTCCTCCCACTGATACCAATGATGGGGCACTATTCCTGCCACTGATACCAATGATGGGGCACTATTCCTCCCACTGATACCAATGATGGGGCACTATTCCTCCCCCTGACACCAATGATGGGGCACTATTCCTCCCACTGATACCAATGATGGGGCACTATTCCTCCCATTGACACCAATGATGGGACACTATTCCTCCCATTGACACCAATGATGGGACACTATTCCTCCCACTGATACCAATGATGGGGTACTATTCCTCCCACTGATACCAATGATGGGGCACTATTCCTGCCACTGATACCAATGATGGGGCACTATTCCTCCACTGATACCAATGATGGGGCACTATTTCTCCCCCTGACACCAATGATGGGGCACTATTCCTCCCCCTGACACCAATAATGGGGCACTATTCCTCCCACTGATACCAATGATGGGGCACTATTCCTTCCCCTGACACCAATGATGGGGCACTATTCCTCCCACTGATACCAATGATGGGGCAGTATTCCTCCCACTGATACCAATGATGGGGCACTATTCCTCCCACTGATACCAATGATGGGGCACTATTCCTCCCACTGATACCAATGATGGGGCACTATTCCTCCCACTGATACCAATGATGGGGCACTATTCCTCCCACTGATACCAATGATGGGGCACTATTCCTCCCACTGACACCAATGATGGGGCACTATTCCTCCCACTGACACCAATGATGGGACACTATTCCTCCCCCTGACACCAATGATGGGGCACTATTCCTCCCACTGATACCAATGATGGGGCAGTATTCCTCCCACTGATACCAATGATGGGGACACTATTCCTCCCACTGACACCAATGATGGGGCACTATTCCTCCCACTGATACCAATGATGGGGCACTATTCCTCCCCCTGACACCAATGATGGGGCACTATTCCTCCCCCTGACACCAATAATGGGGCACTATTCCTCCCACTGATACCAATGATGGGGCACTATTCCTCCCCCTGACACCAATGATGGGGCACTATTCCTCCCACTGATACCAATGATGGGGCAGTATTCCTCCCACTGATACCAATGATGGGGCACTATTCCTCCCACTGACACCAATGATGGGACACTATTCCTCCCCCTGACACCAATGATGGGACACTATTCCTCCCCCTGACACCAATGATGGGGCACTATTCCTCCCACTGATACCAATGATGGGGCACTATTCCTCCCACTGATACCAATGATGGGCAGTATTCCTCCCACTGATACCAATGATGGGGCACTATTCCTCCCACTGACACCAACAATGAGGCACTTTTTCTTACACTGACTGTAATCCAAGCCTGTGGCATTGTTTACTCCCACTTTCTTCTCCTACTGGCCACAGTTCAGTCCCCCTAAAGTCGGAAGGATAGTAAACTGGCTCTTTGTTTAGAAAGTTTGGAGATCCCTTGTGTAGGGTCTCTGCTTTCAGAAAATACATAATGTTTTGGAGGATTATGTAACCTTCAGGCCTAAAACGAATTTTTAAACATGTGTGAACTCCTCCCCCCCCCCGTGCAAAAACGGCTCTGGCAGTGAAAGGGCGAAACACAAGAAGACAACCATTGCGTCTTCTTGCTTCTTTTTTTATTGTATCACTTTGTAAATATTTTGTTATCTGCAAGGCTCCTTTGAAATGAATATGTCGTTGTTGGCCTTTAAAGTTCTCGCACAAAAGTGTCACAGCTTGAGTCACAGCAGCGCCATAACCACATCTGTACACCTTGGGAAGCGAACGCGTGTTTTTCTCCCACGCTCGTCTTTCATCTAAGCCTTATATAGGCCGCGCTCTTCTGCATTTCTTCATTAGAAAGGAAAAAAAAGAAAAAAAAAAACTGGAGCGCACACACACACGAGCCATCGAACAATCAATTTCCGAAGCTTTCATGTGACCTTCGGATGACTTTGATGGCCCCTTTCATCTTCCCATCAAGGTCGCGTACGACCGTTTCCAGCTCACATCCAGCAAAATTATATTTATTAAAGCGCAAGGTTTTGTGAGCGGTATATAATTAGATGTCTATAATTTGCTTCCTGTCGTGTTGTTAACACATGCTGCTGCTTTTTTTTTTTTTTTATTAGACTAAATATAGTTTCTCTGGATGGCAGGAATGCAGCTATAATTTATTTTATTTTTTTTAATGATCTACTTTTCACAGGAAGGATTTGAATATTTGGGATAAAAGTTAAAGGGAAAAAAAAAAATCATCTTTCGTTATAATATAATTGCCAGGCGAGCCTTTTTCTGATCTGACGTTATTAAAAATTAGCTTTTCGTTTTCATCTGAAGCAGCTCGTTAATTTCTATAGCTGCCTAATGATTATTATGCCCCTCCCCCGAACATGGAAATGTTGCAGGTTTTGAGGATTCTTAAAGCCCAATTGAACTTTCAGTTTATTATTTATTTATTTCAGGTGCTTATATAGTGC